CCCACCCCGTGTTTACCACAGTGTCTGGTAGGCAGCCGCCTGTTTCTCAAAGGGTGCTTGGCAGCCTTCTTCTCTTTTCCTAGAGGCGCCAACTCCTACTGGTTCCTGCTCAGCAACACCCTTCCTTCGCACTGACCCCCCCTCCTGTCTGTCCGCACTGCTCTTCCAGCTCAACTCCTCAGGGCTCAAGGCCACATCGGCCTCCACGCACCCACGGAGGAGCCCAGCAGGGTGTCTGGAGCGCAGCAATACTCGGTGACCCTGAGCTCCAGTCTTCAGCCACACCTCTGCTTCTGCCCTCTGCTGGAGCCCAACCTGGGGACACCGATCCCAGCTGGCCAGCCTGAGTGGCCCACCTTATCTGCTTTCTCCAGTTTCACCTGGGAACTCGTACCACACACAGCCCCTGCTCACGATCTGGCCAACAGGCTGTGATAGCCTCTAGGGTGGGCGGCTCTTCTGGGACCCTGAGGGATCCTTCCTGGCGTACCCTGCCTGTGAACATTATCACATCCTAAGCTGATAAAACCAAACCAGTGCCGAGGCAAACACATTTAAAAAAAAAATCACTTGGGTAGGCACTGTAACACACACATAACGGCCTTCTATAAAACACCTTCCTTCTATTATTCTCACTTACCAGTTCAGTAAAGATTAAAAAACAGGCATTGCTAGTGTAACTGAAAATAGGGAGATCTTTCCAGAAGGCAGTCTGACGGTTTATACCAAATGCTTTAAGAAAGCGTATCCTTGAACTAGCATTCCTACTTGCATGACTACATGACACCAAGGTGATGCACACGATGACACACACACTGCGAAGAATCCCAAACAGCCCTGTTCAGGTCAGGACTCACTGAATGGACTGCAGCCCCTCTATCAACAGAAAGGTCAGGGCCAGAAAGGGAACCTCCTGCTGTCAGAATAAGCATGGCATTTCTTCTGTGTATTTGTCTGTACCTGCCAAACTTATATAGAGAATATAATCAAGTTTTGGTAAATGGAGGGAAAATTTTTTAAATGTTGCAGAAAAAAAAAAGTACTCTGTAATGGAATCATGTGAATCCACATAAAGTGGTTTAACTTTATGGATGTTACTTCTTGATCCCTACCAGCTGCACAGAGGAAGTATGATTACCATTTCTCCAAATTTTCAATCAGGGGAGCTGGCCCAAGCCCCTAACCTGGCACCCCTGGGCGGGACTCCAGACCCAACTACAGAAGTGGGGCCTGTTCCCAGGGCGTATGGCCACCACACTGCCCCTTCCTTGCAAAGAAGATACTTTGAATCAACTGAGAAATCGACTGGAAGTTGATTTCCATTTATTTAAAATCTACCCCACTGTCTTACAGACCACAGAAGCAAACACATATAGCTTTTCCTGCTAAAGAGATGTCACAGTCAGAAATGCCCACTGGTTGCACTTCTTCGGCTTTGGGCTTAAAAATAATTAACAAACACAAGCCTAACCCCGCAAGCTGGCTGCCCCCCTGGCCCCCATCTCCACAGCTTCGCCCCTGGCCGGGGACGGCACCACTCTGAGCGCCCACAGCCCCGTGTGTCAGAGCCAGAGCTCCACCCTGGCCTCTGGCCATTGACGTGAACATGAAAAACCATCCACCAGCAAGCCAGCCCAGACCGAGGGAAATGAGTCTGATCTTGAGAGTAGAAGCAAATGTATAAAATAAGTAAATAATTTTGAGTCTTTTGACTTTTGAATGTTTCTAGAAAATTTTAAAAGAGAACTCTAAGAATAAACTTTTCAAGTTAACTGCCAACTGCAAAATATGTGAACTCTAACAGTCCTCCCAGACTGTAGACAGAATCTTAGATAAGAAAGTTGACAGAATAATTTTGTGCTTCAAGTGTCACATAACCTCTGCAGCCTCACGGGAACGTTAACACAGAAGTGTGCGTGGGCCATATCGTTTGAAAGAAAACACTCGAGAAGACACTGACAAGCAAGGTCACGCCCAGACCTGACTTGGATGAAAGGCTGATGATGGGCCAGACCCCGTGCGACGCTCCCTGTACAGGTGGTCCCCTGTGAGTCCTCACAGCCCAAATGGCAACTACTGGTCTGCTTCCATCTCGTGGCTGGAAACGCGGAGCTCCAAAGGGAAGTAAATGCGTGAGGTCCCAGTGGGAAGGGGAGCGGTGGGATCCAAGTGCAGACAGCCTGGCTCCAGCGCCCGCCCTCCTGTCTTCCTAAAACCTCACAAGGGACACCTGGCCACACCAGAGTCAAACTGCTGGTACGAGACAGGAAAGCGCTTCTGAAGTGAAGATGCAGTCCCGTGAAGCTCTGCGGGAGGACAGCACCTTGTCCGTGAGCGCACAGGAGAGCAGGTGCCCAGTGCGGACGGGGCAGGATACCCCTGGCATGGGCCGAGTCCCAGGGACGTTCATAGGCGCAACGTGCTCAAGAGGCCTGGGGACCTGGTACACACACCGAGGTAAGGGGGACGCCAAGTGATGGCACAGTCAGCAGCATCTGGCTGCGTGTGATGTGAGGACAGGGAACAGGCAGTGGCGTCATTAGGAAGGAGAGAGGCTGAGACGGCTGACAATAGGTGGTGTCCTCACCTTGCACTTGGCTTTCAGCTTTGGTCCAGTCCGTAACAGGCACATTGCAGAACCAGAAAGGTGCAAAGGAGTGCAATAAAGATGATTACAAGGGGGGACAGCCTCCATTCGGAGAAAGATCAAGATGACAGTGACCACTTTTTCATCCAGAAAAGCAAAGAGCCAGGAATAAAATACCACACTAAACGTGACATGCAGAAAACAACCCAAGGCACTGAGAAAGGCCCCAGAGCACCGCACAGCAGAGGGGAAGAGCCCGGCGACCCCAGTCACATCTGCAGACGTGCGGCCCTTGACGCAGCTCTGCCGAGGGACTCGGGAGCCCACTCCACCTGTGAGCCGCGTGGTTCTTTTTTCAGGCAAAGAGTCATAACTGGGCTGTTTCCATTCACTTCCGCAACGGGCAGGGGCCTCCCAGGGTGCAGAGGACGAGTCAGGGGAGCAGAGCCTGCTGTGCGCTGGGAAAGCCGATGGGAGACCAGGAGCCGCGGTACAGTGGGCGAGCGGCACACCGCTCGTCCCCCGCAGCCGGCCTGCGCGTCTGGACACCCCGGGATGATAAGGGATCCATGGGGGGACAAAGACACTGGCGTGCGACAACACTATGCTGGCTGTCCCCGGCCACACTGTGCTCCCCTGCTGTCGTGTGTAACACATCAGTGGGGTCCCTTGCCTTCCAGCCTCCAGAATGTCTGAAGGAGACAGGAAGGCAGGAGGAGAAGCAAGTGGCTGGAGTGCCGGCTCCCTCCCTAGGGCGCGGTCCCCACCAGAGGGCCCAGGCTCGAGGCCGCCTGCTCAGCTGGCTCTGGCAGCACCTCCTCTCCTCACGACAGGCTGGCAGCCGTGCTCTGGCTGGTCAGCTTTCTAAGGCCAGAAAAAGAATTTAAGAAAGAGCCTTAAATCCTTGAGTTAGGGACCGGCGGGGCGAGCACTGCAGAGGCGGACCCTGCACCACCTCCCTGGCTCCCAGGCCAGCCCCAGCCGCACAGCACTGCCTCGTTAATCCTCTCAGGCTGTCCCAACATGAAATGCCAAGTGTGTCTGCCAAGACCCTAATACACACCTCCGCACTACACTAATACCCCCAGTACACTAGTAAGACAAAAACCACTCAACCAGTTAAACTCTCCAGGCACACACAAGGACAGAGAGCCTGTCCTGTTTGTGAACAGTTACCGCACAGTGCCCCCAGGTCTCTACAGCCAGGGCAGATGATCTCAATTGGCTCGGTTACAGAAAGCCAAAGAATATCATTTCAAGGTGGAAAGTGTTATTTTTCCTCATTTGCTTGATTAGATGTCTAAGGCAAAAAAGAAATCTGATAAAATTCCTCAATTCTCGAGTTTACGGCAACTGGGCTAGGCATTTGTTTTGAAATTAAAATAATTTCTCTTCATTTGGATAAAGAGAAGTTTAAATCTCCTGAGGTTATTTCAAACTAAGTGCTGAGCCTGTATTTAGTGTTCTGGGCGCACAAAATAAAAGTTTCTATATTGGGAAAGACTACCCCTCAACGGCTCAGCTAACATAGTGACACTACACCCCAAGACCTTCCCTAACTGAGGCCCCTGGGAGCGCTGGTGTGCACCACGACAGGAGGGCCGCTAGGCTGGCTCGGAAGATCTCATTCTGCAACCAGTGTTGTTACTGCGTAAGTCACCCAACTACTGCCAGAGCCCTCAGTTCTTCACTGAGGAAGGGGGCAGGGCGTCTAGCAATCCTCTGGAATGTTGTCTCGAATTCTGTAATGCGCATGTGCATTTTTCTGGGTAAAGAGGCTGCTGAAATTAAATGGCAGGACCCCCCTAACTAGGTTTCCTCACGACAATGTGTATGATTCTACAGGCAGAAAAAGAGTTCAAGGGCCCTGTAAATTCATTTTTAAAGGCCGTATTTCACTACAGATCAACAATGTTTGGCCCCCTTAGGTGGTTTCTTTCAGACACATATGCACACACGTATTCATACCTTCCGTTCATCTTTGTGCTACTAATGAATATGGCACAGCTGTCTGTGTGTCACATTGCTATCTGCATGTTCACATGCAAAACGAGGACGGTTCTGAAAGAAAACAAACATCTACCCGCAAACCCTAACTCTGCATGTCCCAGGTCCGTCAGGGGCGTGATCTTTATCAGCAGAGACCCACTTCCACAGGTCAAGCTAAAGGCAGCTTAAGAAACTGACCTAAGAGGCTTGCTTCAGTCCAACATGAACTCCACCACGTTGAGAGCAGAAATTACATTTTCCGGCAATTAATTAATCAATGTAAAGAGTAATTATACAAATCACATAGTAAAAATTAAGGACATTTAGAAGGAGAGAACTCTTTCCTGAGCACAGACAGTTCAATGCCTGGGATTCCTGTTGGAATAGTCAAGAAAAGGGTAAATGGGGAAAACAGACGACTCACTTCCAAGAGCTTCAGCTCCTGCACACAGCTGTGCAGCAGCTCTAGGGCGCGCTGAGCCACCTCCCACGGCCTCTGCAGGAAGAGGAGCAGGGTGCACTGGCGAGCAAACAGGTAACTGCGCAGATCTAACAGGGTAGCTTCTTGCCTCTGTATCAATTCACGCTTCTCCATATCTATGGGCTTTCGGAGGATCAATCCATTCCAGCTCTTCACCGGCTGGCAGAAAAAAGTCAGCCAGTTGGCACCATCTAAACAAACACACATCATGAAAGGCTGACTACAGATCCCTTCACCTCACTGAGACTCGAGGGACTGTGGGACGCAGGTACCAACGGGCAGCTCTCCACCCACTTACTCCCTAAGCACTGTCCCGCCCCCTTCCAGTTGGCATAGAACCAGTCTTGGGAGATGGAAATGGGGTCATTACCACAAGCACCTCACTCGGTACTTGTCACTTGACAATAAGCACAGGGTAACACGACCTAGTGCCACCAAGTGGAGTGGAGAACAGGCGGGGAAGCAGTCAGAGGTGGGCGGGAGAGGGGTCAGAGAGCCCGGGGCGATGCGGTCAGTCAGCTCCGAGGGAAGCCGCGAGGCCTGGGCTGGGCTGCTCTGGGGCTGGAGGGCAGTCTGCTCACGCAGGTCTTTTGGTCTCCACTCTTCTCCTTACTCTGCTGTCTCTAACTCAACCATGCCCACTACCTGAGTCCTGCACCCAGAGAAAAGGACAGCAGGCAAAAAAAGGCTGGAGCAGCAGGAAGCAGAAGGGGAAATTCCTGACTATCAAAAATGTCCAACAATGCTCTCCATTTAAACTTATAACCCCAAGACTCAAACAGGATCTTAAAATAAACATAAGAATCTACAATAACAAGTCATTCAGTCTTCATGGAAAAAATTCTTCACCTATTTTTCTCACTCCAAAACAGAGGTGTTATGACGATTTCACTGTCTGTGCATGTCAGGAAGAGACTTTGTGATGGCATCCGATGTTACGGAACACCAAAGTGCCAGCTACAACCCACTGCATCCCTTACTGACCGGAACCTGCACTCGGAGCTGTCAGCAAGCACGCGAAGTGCAGTGCCCAGCCAGGTCCTCGAAGTCCCGACATCAGCAGGTCCCTCTGCCCGTCTCCCCACTCCCAGGATTCCCCTGGCTCCTGCCTGCCTTCCCTTCAGACCACTGTGCTAATGCCACCTGCTCAGAGAGCCTTCCCGGACTGCCCTGTCTGAATCTGAAAAGTGCTTACCGCCACCCTATCCCCTCCCTCCCTGTGTTCTTTTCTGCAGCCTGCACTTACTACTACCTGACTCTAAGTTAAATATTGATCTTTCTGTGCCTGATTTCATTCTGCTCCCCACTGCATTAAGAACAGTGCCTGGGACATAGTGGATGCCCAACAAGTCTCTATGATATGAAGGAACAAAAGTGAACAATCTTATCAGTCAGCTGCAAAACTTGGACCAGGCTTACTTTAGGACTTTAAATTGTCCCAGGTTCATTTGAAAACTGAGAGAATGAAGAAATTATATAAAATATAATGTAAGAAATATGTAAGAGATTGAAAGATATATATGAAGGGTATATGTAAATATAAGAAATGAAATTGCGCCTTTTCTAAATTTTTTAAATTTAATTAGTAAATACTTGCTTTGTTTGTATGTTTAAATTTGTGTCTTGGCAAAGCAAGAGATCCAAACCTGAACTTGATAAAAACGGGCTTGGAGGGGGAATCACCAGTGATGTTTCATCATCATTTGCAGAGCAAGGGCGGCGCCATGGTCCAAGTGGACTGTCCCAGGACTCTCTTCCCAAGGGCTTTCTAGCAGACACTATGGCTCCCTAAAATCACTCTTTTCTTTGGACACTGTGACAAAGGTTCTCTCAAAAACAAAAACAAAAAAAACCAACAAAGATGTCCATTACAGCCCTGCTTGTGGTGGCAAGAATGGAAACAACCCAAATGTCTAACACCAGGGGATGGCTGAATAAGCTAACAGATCCACACTATGAAGCACTACGTGGCTATGAACAAAAATGACTGAGAATTTCAGCTGTTAACTTGGAGAAATGCCTGCAATAGGCTGTTAATAACAACAACAAGCTACAGACAAACAGCTATGTATTTAATGCCATTTCTATAAAAATAAATTATCAACTAAAAAACAGTGAGGACGATTATAAACTTTGCATACAGTTTCGCTGTGCTAATTTTGTACTTTCAAAAGAATTTAAGACATTATCTGAAAGTTTAAGAGATGAACGCCCATTACAATGGTGTCCTACAAAACTCACTGCAATGAGCTCTCAAATATCACAGAGACGACCTCTCAACAGAAGAGTCCCACCCCTACACTAGCAAGGAGGCCTAGAATCACAAGCTTCACTAGCCAGCTCTAAGCTGTAAATATGACAACTCATATCTGAAAAATGCTTTTTATTACTTAGGATTCTTCTAAAAGTGAAAGGGGCTAAACCTTAATTCTCATTTCATTCCTACTGGAACCATATAATTTATTTTAAAACAATAACATAGGATGATTTAATCGTTTTGTGAATAAATGGCTGCTTCCAGCCTATTTAAGAGTGGGGAGAAAAGAGTGTGCGCCTAAGATGTCTCTACTCACCGCCAGCCCCGAAGTTGACCACGTACTGAGAAAACAGGGCGTCCAGCTCATCATACTGCACCAGGGCATCTTCAAACTGTTGCAGCATCTCAAACACAAAGGCAAGTTCCTCCTGTTTATCCAAACAAAATTTTAAAAAAGCAAAACCATAAATCGGTATTTTGAAAGACTATATAGCTATTAAAGATTGTAACAGAGAAGCAGGCAGCTTAATGAATGTTTATACTACACTACGTAAACAGTTTAATGACACATCAACGTTTCTGCAGGCACAGAGAGGGGACTGGAATGAAACAGGGGAGGGCCAAGATGAGCTCGGACCCTCCGTGACTTAGCAGCAGCACAGGACGCCAGTCACCTCTTGTCCTTAGCATTCCCCCTGCCAACCCAGATACACGTTCTTAACTGGGTTCTTCCACCTGGAAGAGCTGCACTTTATTCTCCATTTACTCATTTAACCAGCTATCTGTTTATATCTATGCAGGCTCCATGGGTATTAACTTCATTCACGGTTTAAATTCCAATTCAGTCATTATTTATTTTGTTGCATAAATGGTTCAGCCTTGGCCATGGTGAGGCTCCTGTAGGCAGTGCTTAGGTTCTTCTGGAGGACCTCTACCTTCCTGTGCACTTCTTTCCTTGCTCAGTCTACAGATATTCCAGGTCCATCTTGTATTTTCCCTGCCTCAACCCCGAATCAACCACTTCTGCAAGGAGCTCCAGCACCTTTTAGTGGAAAATGGAGTTTAGAAACCAAGATATGGCACTACGTGTGCTCACTGCTACTGAGGTGTCACTCTTCCTAGACCCTGTCAGAAGACAGAGCATATATGTATACACACACACATACACACCCCTACCTCTATTTCTGAATCAAGTCATCCATCCATCCATCCACCCACCCACCCACCACACTGTGGGTTCACACTGATACCTCAGATTCCAATCCAACACACTGGGTTCATTGAGAATCCCCCTTTCCTTGTTTGTAACTCTTAGCAATTAAGTTTAACGCGCTTGAAGGGTGAAGAGACAGGGCAATCTGAAAGGTCTGTAAGTAGGCCACCCATATAGGGAATTATGAACATTCAAATTCCCGTACGTGCACCATATCATCCAAATGCCACTATGACATAAACATCAGAGTAAGTGATAAATATCAAAGTTTCTAGTCAGAATTGGTCACTTATTTGTTCAGTGTTCATTATTTCTTGAGTTATTAATTCACAAGTAATATTTAAATATAAAAAATAAGCTTTCAAACTATGGTAAATACAAACAAGGAGCCCTAAGAGCAACATTCTTGCCCCTCTTTGCAGTGTCAGGAAAGGCCCCCACTCCCTCAAACTATACTATTATAGTTTGGTCACCTTAGCGAACAAACAAACATCCCTTTGTTCGCCAAGACTTTTCTTCTTACAACAGAAAAGAGCTGTTACAGACTACAGTTTTTAGAATCTAAAGTTTTTTTTAAACTGTTGTAAAGAAACTAGCCTAAGGCTATCTTCCATTGGAACCCCAGATTGATTATAAAGCAAAACTAGAGAGGAACTGTTGCCAGGAAGCCATAAGGCAGTGGCAGTGGCGGGCAGGCAGTGGGCACCTTCCCACCATGATCATCGCCGCTGCTGGGCTCCTCCGCTACGGCATTCCCAGGCATTCCCACGGTAGGTACCTCGGCAGGTCTGAGACGCTGATGTCAGTCTAAGTGCAAGGCCATTTCATAAAAGACTACATGCCAAGCTCTGAAGCTCCAGGGAGCTGATGATACAATTACTCAGGAATGGTAATCTCTGCTCTCCTGCTTGATAAGCCAAAGGACAGAAATGTCTGTTAGCTACCATATAATCTCTTGGTTTTAAAAACTATGCCAATAAGACTTACCACAAGAGAGCAGCCTTATTTAGAAAGAAAGAGGGACAGAGGGAGAGGAGGAGGAAACTGTCCAGTTCTATCATCAGTCCAGTACCTGAACCATGAAATAGTCACAAAAGCTCCAGCCTGGCTCAGTCCTCTTCTCCCTCAAGGTTCTCATGTCATCCTCAAACTTGCCTAGGTTTTTGGTAAAAGACATAAGAAGCAATGTCCTGAGTTTGGTCAGGAAGGTATTCCAGGATTCCTGAGTTCGAGAAGAGTCCTTCAGGGGGTCGGTGAGCACAACACACCTGCAGAGACATGAACGGACTATCTGGAAAATACTCTCCAAGCACAGCATCGTGCCCCACCTTTCCTCCCAACGATTTCCTTCCTCCCCTCCTTCCCTTCCCTCCCTCTCTGCTTCTTTTCTTCCTTCTTTAGTGGTGAAAAACATTAGGTAGGTGGTGAGAAATCAGGTTAGGAAAAGGTTTCATGCCACACAAGCAGGAAGTGCTGTTCAAGGAGAATCGCTGTAGAACAGACTGGAAAGGAGGGGAGGGGCTGAGGAAGAATCCTGAGTCTTAGACTCTGCCTCCAGGTTCTCTGTGAAATAAAGTGATCATGTCACACTCAGCTCCCAAACTTCATTTCCCCTGCCTCCTTCAAAAACCTCTTCTGGTCCCTTGTAATCGACAAGATAAAATTTAAATTACTTAACAGGGTGCATGAGGACCATTACAATTGGATCCAACCCAGTTCTTTAGCTTTAATTCTTACTGTTTCCAGCTGGAGCCCACTGACCTTCTCATGCTCTCCCCTCTTTTTATCAAGGATACTCCTATTCACCCTTCAAAACCCAGCTTGGCTGACATGTCCTCGCTGAACCGCTCCCTGCAACCGGTCTGCCCGCTCCACCCCCTCAGCCCCTTCTGCACTAAAGTGCCCCGCTGTGGCCACTCTCTCTCTGCAGGTCCCTCTCCCACCAGACTGTGAGCTCCTCAAGGGCGAGGTGAATAAACAAATAATAAATAAACGCTTAGAGGAATGGCGGCTTAACGTGTATATACAATACAGTTTCACTATAAAAAGACTTTGTATTCATTAAAAACATCAAAGGCATAACATTACAAGAGTTACCAGTAGATTTGGAAATGGCTACATAGCCATCCAAAGGGTTAGAAAAGGCACTTTCTTTATCCTTCCTTGATAATAATTTAGGAAAAAGATGAGTGAGTCTGAACTCAGAAATAATTTTAAAATATTGATGTTATGAATTTCAACATTTCTCCTCCATAAATATTTTACCTGAATTACCAAAGAGTAGCAAAAGGAGCAGATCCTAAGTTTCACTTCCCTATACCCTTCACACCCTTTGCAGAGAGGGCTATCTCCACAGAATGCTCAGTCACTGGACAAAAGCGGAGAGGAAGTCCGTGGTGAGCAATCAGCACTAAAAAGAAAGTAGAAAAACCGGTAGCTGGCTTTAATTCCCATCACTCCACCCACCCTCCGCCCTGTCCTAGACACTGTTTCTTCCCTCAAAGACGGAGGGACCCAGCCAGCTCACTCCTAAGCCTCCCCCAGAGGACTAACACGTCTTTATTCACCATGTGAGCTGCTAGAATCTACCAGGGCAGCAGTTTACCCTTAAGGGCCTCTCCAGGATTGTAATGATCAGCATTATTCCCAATGAGACACAGGACGAGACAGAGACCCTACACCTATGGTGGGGAGGGAAAAGAAAACCGGAACAGATGTCAACCACCGAATAATATTTTTTTCAGTGTCCTGGTGCTTACCAGACAATGTATTCATTACTTTCTCTACCGCTTATTATGCCTTTCAACTTTCAATGTTTCTAGATCTTTTTATAATAAAAAAGCACTATGCAGAAGAAATTCACATTAAGCCCAGATGGTTAACTCAGAAAGAGAGAACCCAAAACAGTTCAAATCAGCGGAGGTGGGGCCCAGCTGGGGAGGAGCCGCACCCACAGAGTCCTGGGGCACAGTGTCCTAGGCAGCTGCCCAGAGGCGCGGCGCACCGAGGAGCTCCAGGCCGGGACCTCTGCCTGGCGCTGGACAGCCAGCTGCACAGACAGTCAACAAGCAGCACTCACCAAGAGCCCAAAAAAGCATAAAACCCTTACTTAGCAATTTTCCTTTCAGGGATTTATTCTAAGGAAATAATAAGGATATACACAACAATGAAGCTAGAATATTACTTATAATATTGTTGCTTATAATAAGTAAGCAATAACTTATAAGCCCAGCAGAGAGCTGTACAGAAAACTTACAGTACATTGATACTACAGAATATCATAAACTCACTAACAATAATGGTGCAGAAAAACATTTACTGTGAAAGAAAAAAGTATTACAATGTACAGTGGTATTCAGTGAACAAGCCAAGTACAAACCATGCATCCATAGTATCACATGCATACATGTATATATGTATGAAGAGAAAACATCTCAAAGATACATACCAAATACTGAGTTAATATCTATTTTCTTTCTGCTCATTGCCTTTTTCTAACAATTCTATAATAAACCTGTAAATATTTATAATCAGAAATTTAAAAAATAGTAAGCCATTTTAGGACCAGGGGTTCAAATATTTCCAAAGGCAGAAATTACATTGTCTAATAAAATAGTTGTAAATAAAGATGTTACTAAATTCAAATTTATGAAAATCTAACCCAGCTTTTTATATTAAAAATTACAGATTTGTCAAAGGTAGCTTTGCAAATCAATGAAAATCAAAGTGTTAGAAGACATATTTAAATATTGGAGATAAAATGTTAAAAATTTCGGTAAGTTAAATTTTACGTATAAAGAATAGTCATTAAAAGCAAGTTAGCTTTACATGGGCTCAGCAGAAACATACTCTTGGCAATTAGATAAAAATTATATGAAAAGTAATCAACAGGCGCTTCAAAAAAATTATATAAATTTGAATTTTTCACAAATATAGACTAATATACTCCATTAACAGCAGTTTATTTAACAAATAAAATCCCAAACAAATATTTCTTTTGTTTTACTAAACCACTCCAAGGCCACTGGGTTGGGTTTTCCTCATTCCACAGCAGCTCTTCCTTCTTTAGGAAAAAAAGCATTAGCGTCCCCGAGGCACAGAGAGGGAGAAGACACTCAGTTAGGGAGCATCTTGCTTAGATATTACGCTGACTCCTTTGGGATAATTAATTTGTGAATAAAAGACCTTAGGGAAAACTACCACAAGTCCAGATTGCATGAAATTTCTCAAAGGTAAACCATAAGCTCAACAATCTAACATTTTATTCAAGCTATAAGTAAAGCAAGTTTGAACATTACTGAAAACGAAGCCCTCATATGGCTCCCTCCCCTAAAGAACTGTCAATTCACTGGGTGGCGCTGACACAGGACGCAGTCACGGAGTAAGTGTGCCACGCGGCAGTCTGGTAGGGATTCCCAGCCAACCCTCAGGGGCTCTTCCTTCCTGTCCTTCACCCCTTAGCCCATGTCCTTCCCTCCGTAGCCCCCGTGCCGCCGCGCCCCCAGGGCAGCGCCCCCCACCCCCAGCCCCAGAGCAGGCGGGCGCCTCGCCCAGGCTCTTGCTGTGCCCAGAACCCTTGCCCAGAGCACTTGGGATGGTGGTGACTGCAGCGGTGGGGACCTGGGCGTGAGGCAATGCCCGTCCCTACCATTACACCACACTGTGAAAGAGCGGGGACCAGGTTCCACACTGCACCCACAGGACCTGGGTGAATTAAAGTACCAAACTACGCGACACAGACCACATTTACAGGCCAGGAACAGCATCGCTGAAAAGACAGGAAGTGCGCCACCCCCAGAAGAGAGAACAGAGCCCAGGCAGGGGAAAGTAAGAGGGGAGTCAGTCCATCCAACGGTCACCACCAAGGCTTCAGCGGCCCCGCTGACAGTTTCTGAAGGAGGTGAAGCCAGCACTTTTTAACTCCTGCTTGTAGGAATCCCTGCTACGCTGACACCCATGACCATCCCTCTTCAGAAAGGGGGCCCAGCGTGCGGCCTGTCCCCAGGGACTCTGGGCACAGTTTCCCCTGCCGGACCAGGAACTCCACCGGGCCCTCTTTTCAGCGCCCCCCATCGCAGGCTCCCGGGTCAGGCGCGCCACAGCCACTCCGGGAAACGCTTCCCAGGGTCTGAAGCCAGTCGCCTGTTTCATCCGGGTACCAGCCCAAGGAGGTAAAATTAAAGATACACTTACCTGTCACTCTGTTTATTACAAAAATCATTTCTTATTTTGTCCACAATAGAAGTGCGAGGAAGGATGTTGGTTTTGTTTTTTTTCTTGGCATCATTTTCAACCACCACTATTAACCAGTCCACGGAGCTATGAGCTTTCAGAACATTCTGCCACTTGGTAAGGTCGTCTTTTACTGTAGCTTTATACACTTCAGTATCCTAAAAATAAATAAGTCACTGTGAAAGCAAGTTAATCAACCCCTTCCATCTATACAGCAAAATGGGTCTAACAATAGGGAATACAGCAGCCACAGCACTTTACAGCTCCAGGCTGCAATGCTCCAGGAGACGCCCAGCAGGGAGCCACCCTGCGGGCCTCTGGGCAAGCTCTTTATGTTATCCCCAAATGCTTGGAATGCTGAGGGAAGGTCCTCTAATGTCACCGAGGAAGAGACTGGGAGTCAGACAGCTCAGGACGTTGCCCACAGTGACACAGTCAGCTAGGCAAGTTGGGACTTTAAAAGCCAGGTCTGCATGGCCAAAGGCCCTGTGCCCAAGCACTGATGTGTGCCCTGCCTGCATGGGGAGGCGAGCGGACCCTCCGCTGCAGCCTGCCTGTCATCCCTGTAGGCTGGGTGTCACGGCGGGGCCAAGGCCAGGCCCCCAGCAGTTCCCTCCACATCCCCTCTGCTCTCTGCCAACCCCCAGAACCACTCCAAACTCGATGTCACTCGCAGGCCACACTTGGGGCAAGGCAACATCAGATGGGAACCTTCGGAACTCAAGGAAAGAGGACCATCTGCTCATTCACACAGATGGACAGGAGAGCTGTCCTGGTCCTAGAAATCAATGCTGCTTCCGACTCAGAGTTCTACATGTCAGCCTGCCAAAGAGAGCATCCAGCCTGTACCGAAGCCAGTGAGTCCAGCCTCGGCTTCCAGACAGAAGCAGGGACACAGAAACTGTCCTTGCTATTTGGATCTCTGTTTATAGTTGTCTGAAAGCTCCGTAAGTGCACTCAGAAAATTCAGAGTGAAAATCTGAAAACCAAGATACCTAATTCATTTCAAAATTAGACATTTAAAAACTATACTTAGTAGCTGCTTTCCCCTCTTTTAATGGAAGAGTCCTTATTATCCTGCTCATATTGCCACTAGATTTTTTTCAGCCTTTCTTGAATAACACCCCTGCAGATCTATACTAATGTGATTGATTCATGAATGAGTTAAATTTCAAATTCTGTATCCAGTCCCACTTTTGGTTTAATTAATAAGTGAAAAGTTTTTGGTAACCATATTTCATATGTTCAAGATGTTAAGCAGAGACATGAAAGATATTTTTAAAAGGAGGGAAAAACCCACATAGAATTTCTAAAGACGAAAACCACAATGCTAAACTGAAAAATACACTAGGTAGTATCAAGAGCAGATTAGACATCTTGAAGACATAGAAACAAAAATTATCCAAATTAAACACAGGAAAACACTAATAAAGCATCAACACAGCATCAATGAGCTATGAGACATCAAGTGGCCTAATATGTAAGTAACTAGGGCCCCCAAAGGAGAGGAGAAAAAGGGAGATACAGAAAAAAATATTTGAAGAAATAACGAGCAAAAATGTTCCAAATTTTATCAAAATTATAAATCCAAAAGCCCCCAAAAATCCAAGCACAGAAACACAAAAACTACACCAACGCATATCACAAACTGCCTAAAACTATGGATAAAGAAAAAAATCTTAAACCGCCAAAATAAAAAAAAGACACTTTATGTTCAAAGAAACAAAAACCAAAAAAAAAAAAAAAAAATTTCTCATGGGTAACAATGGAAACCAAAAGGCAACAGAACAACATCTTTTAGTGTTAAAAGAAAAAAAAGACTTTCAAACTAGAACTCTATAGCCAGTGAAATATTTTCCAAAAATAAAGGCGAAATACTTTCTCAGATATACAAAAGCTGAAATGATGCAGCACCAATGAGCCTGCCGTATCGGGAGGGACAGACGTCCTTCAGGCAGAGGAAATTAACACTGCTTGAAAACCTGGATGGACAGAAAGGGGAGCCCTGGAAATGGTAACTCTGCAGACAAGTATAAAGATATGACTGACTGTAAAAGCGTAACATAGGACCGGTGTACTGTGGGGTCTATACCCCAGCAACAAAGAGGCCAGGAGGGGAGGTAGGGGCACACTGCTGTGAGGTTCTCTAGCTACATATCGCATAGCATAGTATGACTAGCAGGAAGGAGGTGAGAAGTTACAGACATGTACGAACCCTAAAGCAACTACAGCAAGTCCACCAATAATGTCGTTTCGTTCAACATTTGTTTGAGAGGACGCTGTAGGAACTTAACTCTTGTGTATATCAGTTAGCCTATGGTAAAACTGGTTTCCTTATGCGTAATTCAGCTGCAGTTCCAAGGACCCATTGATGATGTGAAGCAAGGGCTTACTGTACCGAAATAACACAACAAAGAGTTTTACTTTTAAATTTAAAATCCTAAATATTATCAACTTGCTCCAGGAAACTTTTTCTTAATAGGTAACAAAATGAAACAAACAAACAAAAACCCTAAAACAACAACAACAAAAAACACAGGCTCCCTATTAGAAAATGCAATTTAAGGGGGGGGGCGGGGGAAACCCTACCTCTTTCATAATGTCCACAAAACCATACCCAACAATAATAATACAAGGCTTTTGTGAAAAACATTGTGACACATTATTAAAGGACATAAAAAAGATAAACAGAAGGCAAGAACAAAGCACATTCGCAGACAAGAAAATTCATGATTACTAATTCCTCTCAAACTAACCTATAACTTATTCAAGGTGATCAGAATTAAAACCCCTCCAGCCTTTCCTTTTTTCTTTTCAACTGCTGTTCCAGTTACCTGCTGTGCTGTTCCAGTTACCTGCTGCATAGGAACAAAACATACCATTTGTAAGGGTCCAGAACATTCACCCTGCTCCCGAACCCACAACCTAGAGACTGGGTGGACGGCTCATCTGTGCCCCCTGGTGTCAGCTGCGGGGTTTGAGGCTGGAGCAAGAAGGCATCACCTGTCCACTGGTGGGTGTTAGTGGCGGGGAGGAGGGGGCGGGGTTGGGGGGGGACAGTACCAGGACCTGCTGGGACTGCACCTCCTGACAGCCTTCCCGTGGGGGAACTTGACTTCCTCCAGAATGGCAGCTGGGCTCTAAGAGCAAGCGCCCTAAGAGGACCCAGAGGAAGGTATGATGCTTTTTATGACTCAGTCTCAAAAGTCACAGTGTCCCTCCTGCCAGCCCGAGGCGCACCCAGATTCCAGGAGCGGAAGCACTGCCCTGGTCTCTGGGCGGAGGGCTGTCCCTGCCATGGGCGGACGCGCCAACATGGGGTGCCCCAGCGCAGGCGTTTTCAGGAACGAGGCCTTGCACACTGAGCAATCTGATTTTAAAGTTTACGTGGGAGAGAACATGTATAGTAACTAAGGGGTTTATTTTAAAAGAACAGATACTGATATACATTATAAAAATGTAATAATTAGAAGTCTAATCCTGACAAAGGTTACACAATGATCAATAAAACTGAAGTGTCCAGAATATTGTGCATACAGGACATTGGCTTAAAGGAGATATTTTTCAACTTGTGGGAAAAAGACAAACAATTATAAAATAATGCTAGGACAATTTGCTACAAATTTAGACTGTAAATTAGGCCCCAAACCTTATACCTCCCCCCCTCCAAAAAAAAAGAAAAAGAAAAATCACCTGAAGCTACACAGACCAAATTATAACACAAGTTATAAAATAATTAAAAGAAAATATAGGAGAAAATCAGATATCTTCAGATAGACAAGGCCTTCCTAAACAAGATATATGACTCAGAAACAATTTTTTAAATGACACATTTCACTTCATAAAAATTATACTAGTTACAAATACCTATGCACTAAATAATGCATCAACCACCTTCACAAAACAGAAACTGAAGAAGATGCAAGAGAAACAGAAACATATGGATCAGAAAGAGAAGGCTTTAACATACTACCATCAGTTAAAGAGAGGTCAAGTGGACAAAACATGAAGATATAAATGATCTAAACATCATAATCAGTAAGATAATTCCTTATGAACACATATTTAACATAAATATCTGAAAATAGAGAAAATTCTCAAAACGAGCATGGTCCATCCACAAAGACTGATCATTTATTAGGTCACAGAGAAAAAATAAGTTCCATAAAGCAGATATAAAGCCAAACTCTGATCACAATGCAGTAAAATTAGAAATTCTAAAAAGAATTTTAAACTTTCTTTCTGGAAATTAAAAAACTTTCTGTTAAACTACTGGCTGAAAGAGGCAACACAAACAGAAAATAGAGAATATCCAAAAAATAATAACAGAACACTGGAATATATTTAAGTTCATATCTTCAAAGACCCATAGCAATAAAAATTTAATAATAAAAATAAATGCATTCCCAACTCAAAAAAAAAAAACTAAAAGAACAAAGTAAAACATAACAAAAGAAAGAAAATAAGAAAAATGAAAGAAAAAATTACTAAAGTAGAAAACAGATGACTAGAATAGCAGATTAATAAATAAAAACCCTGGTTCTCTGGGAGGAAGAATCAACCGCTAGCTGACGTAACCAAGGAAGAGTGGGAGAAAACACAAACACACAAAATGAGAAGCAGTCATAGGAAATAGCTATGGACACAGCATATTTGAAAAGTCAAAAAGACCACATACCTCAATGAAAGTAAATTTTTAAACTTAAATAAATATATAATTTCTAAAAAATAAAATAGTTTATCAAAATGGACAAATGGCTAAAACAGACCAATTTTCACAGAAGGGATTCTGGAAGTGGTCAAGGGCTATCCCACAGGAGTACCAGGCCCAGATGGCTTCACAGGACATTTCACCAAACCTCAGAGACCAGAGAGCCCCACCGTTACATAAATTGTTTCAGAAACACAAGGGAAAAACAACTTCAAAATTCTTTTCATGAACCAAGTATAACATTAATACCTAAACCTGAGAAAGAGAACACAGATAAAGGTATAGACCAATCACTTGTGGATACAGATGCAAAAATCCTATATGAAGCGAACAAACACCTAAGCCACATTGAGAAAACAATACTTTGCCCAAGAGGGATTTGTCCCAGGAATGCAAGTATGGCTCAATAATAAGAAACTCATTAATATAACCCAACATATTAACAGATCTAAGTGGGGAAAAATCATATGATTATCTCCCCTGAGTCTGAAAATTCCTTTACAAAATTCAACAATTCATCCCTAATAAAAACCCTGGAAAAACAGGAATGGAGGGAGCTCCCTTACACGCTCACATGACACCCCCCACCCCGCCCCGGTCCCACAGCCCACGCCCTGTTGCCCAGGGAGCCACGGCGCGCATCCCGCCAGGCCAGGTCCGAGGCAAGGTACCCGTGACCTCCGCTGGTACTGACCATATCGTAGAACAAAGAAAACAATCTGAGGCATTGAAAGAGAATGGGTAAAACTCTCTCTGTCTGCAGGTGACATGACAGAATATCTGGAAAACCCTACTGGGGCCTAGAGAGTCAATGCCAACGCTAACTCAAACAATAGAAGAATTCTGGCATGGAAAAAATCAAGAGCCTTCATATACACACAAAAAATAGCCCACTGGAATATATCACAGGAGAGAAAACCCCATTTAAAACAAATAGGGAAGAGCAACAAGGAAAACACTAACTGGACGAATGCCAAGGAGGCCTAGCCCACACGGACAGAAATGACGCGCGTCCCTGTCATTTGGCAAAGAACTGTTGAACTCTTCTTAGAAGGTCTGTTTCTAGCTGTAGTGCAGGTTAGCAATTGTGAAACTAGGTTTCGCTTATTATAGGACTGAGCCCGTAGCACGCGTGTTGGTGGTGTTGAGAGCCAGGGTGAATATAAACACCAAGTAGGTGAGGCCAGAAAGAGCCCTGTGGGGTCAGCTAATGCCCAGGCATCAGAATCAACTCTAACCTCTAGAGATGTCCTTCACTGGCTCTGTCTACAAAAAGGGTGGAAAGCAGTGGCGCTCTGTGGAGGCAAAGGACACAGTGTTCTGTGAAGACATGGCTGATTCCAGGACAAGGGTAGCAAACTGCTAAGAACCTAGAACATCTTCAGTGTCCCAGAAGGTTAGACAATGCTCAAGGCGACATAGGAGACAGTTTGAAGTGACCCTCGCTGGCCAAATCTGGGACAATTTGAACATCAAATAAGTACAGCTAATTGACTATAAAGCATCGAATTAAACAAAAACCAACACAGGCTCTTTCCTAGGGAAGAGCCCTGGCTGGTAAGCTCTGGGGAGTGGTGTCTGCAACCCTGAGTACCAACTGACTCAGGAAGAACGGCTCCCGGGGGCAAAGCCTCAGTGCGAACGAACGCTGAGACCAGGAAGGACGCTCAGCTGCCCTGCAGCGGCTCGCAGAGGCAGCTTACGCACTGGACGGAAAAACAGAAGCGCAGCATGGAGAAGCCAGGAGGTTCCTTGCTGACGAATCAAATCCAGCCTTACCATTGAGGGGCTGGAGAGGGAGGAGTTACCAGGCCTGTGGCCAGCTCTGGGCCCGTTTGCAAGGCTGCCTTTGGCAAACACCCGGGAATGTGGATTTCAGGAGGGCTCCCGGCACATGTGATGCAAGTGCCTCGCTGGGCTAAACCGCTGTGCAGACACAATGGCTGCGCTAACACCTGCTCTCCCTCGGGGAGTCCAGAGTTTTCGTACACGCCAGGCAGAGCTGCCAAGTGACCAACCCCAATGAGAACCCGGGGTGCTGAGTCTATGATGAATGCCCCTGATAGACAACATCTCACACATGTGGCTGAGCAAAAGCAAAAGATGCATGGGGCATAGTCCAGGGAAACCAGGCATGAGCTTTGAGTTCTTCCTCATTAAAATTACACAAACTGCCTCTGCCTCCTCAGGTGCAGGTAAAAATGCCATGCAGTGATTTACGTATTTTGTATATTGCTAAATGGTTTATCAGAGTCCAAAATGACAGTAAGAAATGACCCATAGAATTTCCTATTAATTCACGACAGAAGAATTCTGTCAAGAATGAAAAGTTTCTTCCTGGATTAGGAATACACAACTGCCAAGGGCAAGTAAAGACCTGCAGCAGCCGCATCACTTCCTGGATGGGCAGGCCCCGAGGGCCTCCTGCAACAGGCCCGGGTGGTGCGGAAGGACACAGTGCCCTGGCCCGCAGAAAGTCTACGCACCAGCAAGGGACAAACAAGGGTTATCTGCCACAACAGTGAGCACAGGAGTTTGAGAAAACGAAGCTGAAAGTAAGTATTAAAAATACCTGGTGGTCACTGGGGCACAGAGAGATGGCTCACAGAACTTGAACACAGGAAGTAAGACGGCACGGGGTGATTACCACAAGGGCAACGCACTGGACCAGAGCAGAAAGATGCACCTAAGCCATGCATCCAGCTGAGGAACGGAGACAAGAGGACGCCAGAGGAAAGGGCACACGGCAAGAACATATGAAAAAGTGCAGTTGTCTCAGAAAAACCTAGACCCGTGAATTCTTAAGCCTGTTCCAAGACATTTCCCCCCCAAGTGAACACTTACACAGCATTCTGTCCAATAAATGTGAAGAAAGGGGAAAGTAAGTAGAGCTTTGTTTCCTTCTTTGGGCAGCAACTCTTCCTTGAACTGCACAAAGTTGGATTCTAGGTGAATCATCTTGGGAGCCCGGCCATAGGACCTATAAATGATTTTTAAAGTCAATGAGAAAAGCAACTGAAGAATGTTCAGCAGAAAGAGAAAAACGCAGCAAGAATTTGATCATTTCCCTGAGTTCAGAAGTACATATAGACTACTAACCCTATATGAGTCTTCCCCAAAATTCTATAAATTATTTTAAACACAGTTCACAACTACATGTCAAAGCTATCCATCCATAAAATCTTTCAGTTACTCAATGACACATGCACGCAGAGGAATATGCTATCTAATCAGGGCTACGTGCAACAACACAGACTTCTGGGGACATGGACCTTACTGGGGGTTTAACTTCACCTTTAAGTCACTATAAAAGAAGAAAAGTTTCCCAAATGTCGAAAGTGCAACTTGAAACTATGAAAGCCTTAAACTAGCACTTTTGTCTCCTGCATTATCCAGAAGAGAGAATTGTCCGGTGGAAGAGAACAGGTTTTGTTTGCAGAACACAAATAAAACCATGGTAACCACCCTCTTTCCTTTTCCTAGTCCAAGAGGACAGACACAGAAACCCCGCCCGCTACCACGAACTAACCAAAGGCTATCAGAGGATACGGGTGCTATGTGGTTATATTTCTAAAAATAAATTATGTCACCTGTGTCCTTTTCCAAGCCTTATTTTCCACCTCTGGAGGCCGTGTCTCCAATCTCAGGAGCATCGTGTTTAACAAGCTGGCACTGGCCATGTTCAGTGTGACCAGGCTCACACACGGACTTGTCTATATCCTACTTGCAGGCTATTTTTCTTCTGTCCTTTGTGAGATTAATCAAGTTTTTCTTTTCCATCTTAACCATCTACCCGTATTCTGCTGTTGGTCGCATTTTTATTTTAATAACCTTACACTTTCTTTCAAAGACTAAAGTAAACATGTATCCTCCTTGAATGAGACAAGAAAGATGGTACACCTTCTCTCTGCTTTCTTCCACACATCTGGAATTTTAGTTTCATTTCTAAAAGGATTGATACCTAAAGTTCAGCAAAATATCTTATGACTTGTTTGCTGGCAGCTGCTTCTTTCTTCTTGTGAATTCTGAGTTTGTTTTTCTTCTTGCTGAGGAACACCCTTTAATTATTTCAGATGGGGTGGTAAGGGTTCTGATCACACATGTCTAAAAATGTTGTCATTTATTCCACTGTTTCCCAACTATCCCCATGCCATGGCAAGCAGTGAACAGACTATTTGAAAGGCACGCCAGAGTAACACATGTGGCTGTGAGCAGCATGATGTGACAGAGCAGGGCCCCTGGCCATCCTGGGCCCCAGCGGCCCCTCGAGGCCTAAGAGGAATGAAGTCTCTCAGCCCCGCCTCATCCGGGGCCCAGAGTGGAAGGCACGGATGCAGTTTTCCCTCTTGCACGAGTTCTAGGTTCAAAGGTATTTTCCCTCAATACTTTGAGAAGACTGTTCTTAACTGTTCTATTTTATGCTATATTTTACATGTTGAGAAGAGATGCAAATTTGGTTTCCCTTTTCTCCGTTTTCTTGGCATGGTTTTCTGTTTGCTTTCATTCCGCTTGACTTTCTGCAGGCTCCTATAATCTCTATCACTCCAGTTCTTCAAATATTGCCTGTCCCCCATTCTCTGTTCTCTTCTCTGACACATCTAGTAGAAGGATATTGAAACCTCGGGATTTATCCTCCACATCTCAGCTTTTCTTCCATGTTTTCCAACTCCCGCTCTGAGCATTAAACTCTAGCACTTCTAAGCTCAATCTTTCAACTCACTAATTTGCTCTTCAGCTGTACAAGATCTAATCAGTTAATTTTGATTTTTTATCAAAGTAATTTGTACAAACTCTAACATGTCAAAGAGCATGAATTAGCTTTTCTCATACACACACACACACACACTACCCCATCCTCTCTACCTCACCTGTGTACTAGTTTCCTAGAGCTGCTAATAAAAAACATACCACTAACCAAGAGGTTTAAAACGACATTCATTTTCTCACAGTTCAGGAGGCTAGGCATTTGAAATCAAGGTGTTGGCAGGGTTAGTATCCTCTGGGACCTCTGAGGGAAAATTTGTTCCTTGCCTCTCTCCTGCCTTCTGACCAGCCTTGGTGTTCTTGGCTTGTGGACACATCACTCCAATCACTGCCTCCATCTTCACACGTCTTTTCCTTTTCTGTGTCTTCTAAGGATATCTGTCACTGGCTTTAAGGCCCAACTGAATCCAGGATGAGCTCATACTATGATCCTTAACTCGACTGTATCTGCAAAGACTCCTATTCCAAATAAGGCCCACATCCACTGGCTCCAGAGAGACATGCCTCCTGGGGGCCACAATTCAACCCCCTACATCTCCCCAGGCACTCTAATTTTAGACCTGATCGTCGACCGTCTGTGATGGGAGATGCAGATTCAGCTGTCTGTCCAGCCTTTCCCTCTCCCTCCCCCTCCAATAGCTCTACCACAAGTGTTTATTGCCTATATTATTAAATGCAGAAGCACTGTTCACTAACAGGCCAAGTAACACCCTGAGCTTACAGTAGCTTTAGACCCTAACTTTTCTTCTTCCCTGCATTTTCATTTTCTTAGCTACCAGCGCCGCCATTTTTAAATCTTCCGAAGCTCTCCAACAGAACTGAAGACTGCGGGCTGCCCACAGTCAGACATCAGGTATCCTACCAGCTCCTTTTCCCTGGTGACTTGCCCCAGGAGCCCACAGTCCTGCTGCTCTGATCAGGCCTGCGTCCAGGTCCCACATTTGCTGACGTGCCTCCCCACTATGTTTCCTAAAACCGGGAGGGGGTGGTCCCGTCTCCGGGGCCATCCAGAGTCTGCTGAGGTGAGTTCTCAACTCTCGTGCCTGGGGAACACAGCTGTGGCACAGTCCTTGGGCCTCAGCTGTGCCCTGCCCGGATTTAGACCCGCCAGCTCCAGAAGGGCACTTCTCCCCGCCTTCTGCAGGGCCTCATAGCCAGGGCCTAGGGCTTCTCTGTCCATAGGAAGGTACCCCTGCCCCAGGTTCGTGCAGGGGCAGACAAAATCCAAATGCTTTCTAAAAATAATGCCTCACCAGCAATTAGTTTTCCAACAAGATAATCCAAAGTCACTTATTGCCTCTGAGCAAGTCATTAAATAAACAACTACACACAACAGGGCAGCTGGGGTGGCTGATATGGTTTCTCTCCTAACCTTTACAAAGCATCCTTCTGTATCCGTAAGGAAGGGCGTAGGGAGGAGCTCCAGGGGGACAGCCTGTTAATGAGAGTGCGGATAAAGGCCCATCTCCTGCCTTAATGCGGGGCCTGAGTGTGTCTCCGTTCCAAAACGCCTGTGCCTTTAAGACACTCTGATGACCCTTAAAGGATCAGAAGTCATTCTTGTAAAAGCGGGCCTATAACTCAAAAGAATTGTCTTGTTCCTGCCATCCTGTGCCGCGTTAAGAAAATCAACATCTTCCTTAAGGAAGAAGGCCCGGGGACTGCGACTCCCCCGGTTCCTCCCAGTGCACTTCAGGACTCGGGCTTCAACTTCCACTGCCTCCCTTGCTCACATAAATGTCTAAAAAATGAAGAAGGACATACAGCCAAACAACAAACACACTATACCTTCTCCATTCCATCGGTTCTCTCGGCAGCTGCTGGGAAAGCGTTGGGTATATAGAGGTAAATAAATTCTGATCTCCAGCACCTAAAACAGGAATAAAGAGAAATCTGGTTAAGACACTTTTAGGTAAATATAGGAAAAATGGGCTCTAAACTTTATTAAATTGGTAACTTTATACTATTTCATATTCAGTAAAATGACATCACAAAACAAGACTGTCCCCTATCGTTAAATAACTAGTCTCTAGAAAGCCCAGCACCTGACACTTATGATCTAACGTAACCCTCATGACATCTCCATGAGGTAGGTGTGAATTTCCCCACCAGGAGTGTGAGGGTCAGGAAAGTTGTCTAACTTGCCCACAGCCACAGAGCTCAGGGAAGACGGGGCCCCAGCAACTCCACCCCGTTTCACTCCTGAGCCTGCCCTGCAGCCACTGCTTTCTTCAACTTCAAGAGAACAAACAGCCAGAACATTCCAGGCAAAACAGGAAACCCAGAGAGGTGCACATGAACTCCATCAAAATAAACTCCATATACATCAAAATGACATCAGGAGCAAAAACAGACAGGACACGCTCCCCGCGCAGGTACTATGCAGAACGCCTGCCATGCAGTCCCTCACTTAGTCCCACACGAGCTCCTAGGAGGCAAGGACAAACTCCAGCCACTCGCAGAGAAGGGAAGTGCGGCCCGGGAGTCAGGGCGGTCAGAGCACCCCGCACAGGCGGACACCGGTCAGGAGCCCCGCCCCGCCCCGCCCCGCCCCGCCCCGTCCCGCGCATCTGACTTTCTGCTGCCTATGCACTCGGTTTCTTATTCAGCTCTTCCACAGCAGCTTTAACAGAGAGGAAGAGCCCACTTACTCTCATAAAATGAGAGTATAACCACACTGTGACACTTAGGCTAGAAAAGGAGCTTTTTAATATAGATTACTCAAATTCTTATACTCAGAGGATCCTCTAACTTTGAGCAAAACCATTTTCCAAATTGCTTTTATATTGATCTTAAAGAAATCATGGGGAATTGATGGGAGCCATTAATATCTTTGCTTGTTTTGCTATCACAAACCTAAAGAAACAAAAAATTAAACCTCCCCCAAACCACATTAACAACATGAAGTCGCTGCTGAGAGGGAGGACATCTGGGCGGCTGCGGTGTAAGCACCCGAACGCGGCGGGACCTGGTGACGACGGCCGCTGCCGGCCCGTACCCCTGAATCCCCCCCATCAGCTCCACCTCTACTAGCTGAACAGCAGACCATTGCTGAGACCATTTACCCACCCTGTGCCTCAAGGGACCCACCTGTGAAACGGGAGAGTAGAACACCTCCCCACCAGGGCGGAGGTGGGGTGTAAACGAGGCGACACCAATAAATAACCTTGAACAAGACCTGACATCCAGTAAATACCTCATAAGGGTTACTATTAGTACAGCTTTTGTTAAGATAGAAACAACTTGTTTTAACTTTCATTTTTCATCATCTTCATTTATTTGATAGTCATCCTAGAAATCATTAAAGTAAGAAAATCTTCATTTAGACCTCTTATCTTCGATTGCCAATTTCTGTTGCCTCTTTAAGAGGTCCCAAGACTAACACACAAAAAAAAATCACTATTCTTTGTTATGTAGAAGTTAGGGCGATTATAGGAAAGCTTTCTCCTCTCTTATTCGGTTTTCTATGAAGTCTCATGTAAGTGCCTAATTAACATATGTACACAGAGTAAAAAAAGAAAAATGAAGTGCCTCTTACACTCCCCTGTAAACTAATTTCCCACAGAAAATCCTATTATACAATAAAATCTGTATAAATGGACACTAAAGTAACAATTTTTTTTACGTTCTATCATGGGACATTTAATATGTGTCCAAATTTTAATTTTATAATATTATAGGTTAATTAGCATATCTGTCATGAGCAAAGATGTCACTGACAATAACTAGGGACTTAACATGTGACCATCTGACCTCAGTGCCTGTTTTGAACTGTGTCCCCACCCCAGCCCCCACCCAAATTCATCCACTGAAACTATTTGGAGTTGCACAGGGTGGGCCCTGATCCAATCTGACTGGGTCCTTACAAGAAGAGAAAACGTGGATACAGATGGATGTGAATGGGAACAAATGGGATGTGAAATGGCCATGTGAGGACACAGCAAGTAAGTCGCCATCCACAAGCCAAGGGAAGAGGCTGCAGGAGCCTAGCCGGCTGGCACTTTGAGCCCGGACTTCCAGCCAGCAGAACTGCTACAAAACGAGTTTCTGTTGTCGAAGCAGCCCAGTGTGTGGCATTCTGTTATGGCAGCCCCGGCAAACTGATACAGTACCCTGATTCAAATGTGAAGGTCAAATTCTTCTAGCTCATCAAAGCCCTACATTGAACAAAAAGGAAGAAAAGCCACCATGATTTTCCCTGAATACACAGCTATTATTCATTATAATACTCTTAAATCTTTATTATCAGGAAAATTAGAGATGCCTTTGAAAATGAGCTACAGAGAACCAGAGCAGGAAACAGAAAGATAGGAAAGGGCTTAGGTGTAAAGCCCCAAAAGAATTAAATCTCAGCTTATATGACAGGTAATTAAATTAACCATATATACGTTGTAGCTTCCCAAAATAGCCCAGCCACTAAGTAGATAGCCACTAGAGCTTTGAGGTCTGAACTGTAAGAGCAACAACTTCCAGGCTGTTTTCATTTTTAATCCCATGGGCAACAGAGAAAAACCTAGGATTCAGTTATGAGAAAACAGCTACTAAGAGCAAATATGAGGCTTAAGATTGATGTTCCCACATTCAGAGAGCCCTGTTCAGAAACTTGCTGTGTTCACTTTTCTGACTCAAGAGGCCTATTAAACGAGTCAATTCAGACTATTTCAACAACTAAGATTTTTTTTTTTTTTTGGTGAGGGCGGAGACATAAAAATAATTAGTAAGTTATGCAAAGCACAACCATGAACATAAATCTGCATGTGTGCCTACACCTCTGCTACCAGTTCTCATCACTAACCCTCAGGGACACGTGGATCTGAGCACGCTCAGTCCCTGCACCCGCGGGCGGCTCCAGGGGCCTGCACAGACCAGCACGCCATCCTCAGCTCCTCGCCCATCGGTGCAGGGTAGCACCCGGGCAGGGCGAAGACTGAGGAGTGGGCACAGGAGACACTCAGCTGGGACGGGAAATGTCAGGGCACAGTCACCTTGCTCTGAAGAGATCGACGTGAGCACCCTGTGTGGGTGCTGCCCCGACCTGCTGGGCACCTGCCCCCAGGCTGAGGAAGGGCCCACAAGCTGAGGGAAGCCCCCCAAGGAAGGCAGGCGGAGCCCTGAGTTTCTGATTATATGAACCTGTTTTCTTACTTATGCCAGTGGTGACTGGATTTTTCTGTTATATGCGATCGGATGACTGATAAAGACCTTCGCTATTTCCTGAGTTATTTCTGCATACTCCGAGATTTCTGCAAGCATATATTCATGTATTAATAATGTAATTAAGATTTTTTATGTTAAGGGCAGATAAGAATTAATCAAACACCAGAGCACTTCCTATTGGGACTCTCAAGACTGAACGACAGTGGAGTGGCTGCCCAGGGCCAGGTGACCCACTGCAGAGGCCGGGCAAGCAAAAGATTCTATGATTCAACTTCCGAATAAAAAAAGTCAAAGGAAATACGTAATCTTTCTAGTATTTGCTTAATAGAAAATTTTACAGACACAGCCATTCCTTAAGCATGCTAACAAAAGAAGGCAAAAATTCATGATTCAGCAGTTCAGTGCCATCAGAAAACACGTGGAGAGGCCACTGTCTCTAACCCTAAAAACGCATGTGCCTGCCCACGGACCAAACATAATTTCTCAACAGCTTCTGGCAGAACAGGCTTTCAAATGGACGATAAAAATGTCCAAGGTCACAAACTGGGAAGTCATTTTGGCCTGTTCAATAATGCGTGAAGCAAATTTGCTAAAATTTATGTGTAACGTAAATGTAGTAATAAAAATTAATTGATGCTTCAAATTGGCAGCTCTCTCATGGGGAACTATTACCTCATGCACATTCATGGACTATGGAAACCCCCCAGCGGTCCTGCCAGAGCGTCTGCACGTGAAAGGCTCTTACACTGGGAATGGGAACGGAGAGCGATGGTTCCTGAGAAAAAAAGCTAGAAAGATCCAGATGTTATCCAGATTCTGTAAGTAGAAAGCCAGGCTAGCCTGTCCCCTAAAATGACTAGGCAACTGATCCCCTTTCTACACATAAACATTGCTCTTCTGGACCTGTCTGGGTAGTTCAGTTAGAGTGTCGTCCTGATACCCTAAGGTTGCAGGTTCAATCCCTGGTCAGGGTACATAAAAGAATCAACCAATGAGTTCATAAATAAGTGGAACAACAAATCTCTCTCAATCTCTCTCTCTCTCTCTCTCTCTCTCTCTCACACACACACACACACACACACACAAATAAATAAATTAAATTAATATCTTTAAAAAAATTTTTTTTTCATCCTTACCTCAGGAGAAATATCGATGTGAGAGAAACATCAATCGGTTGCCTCCTGTACATACCTGGACCCGGGATCATACCTGCCCAGACAGGGGATCAAACCTGTACCAGGAATCAAACCAGCAACCTTTTGGTCACAGGACGACACTCCAACCAATGAGCCACACCAGCCAGAGCTAAAGTAATATCATTTAAAAAAAATTACCTTCCCTATATTGGAAGGCACATATTTGAGAAGAAAGCAATGTACCTTCCCACAGCTCTGTACCAGCGGCCAAGTTTAAAGAAAAGCAATTCCTCCTGTGGCATGCTGGGAATCACCTTCATTTGGTTGTCACTTGTTACATTCTGGCTTGCAAAGTGAGGGTGACTTTAAATCACAGCTCAGCACAATGCGGCCATGCCATCACTGCCTTTCATGGTACGCCTACTCCATCCGCCCTCCCCCGAGCCTTCCTGCCATATACACACACACAGACTCTCTTCCACTCCGCTTTTCCCGCCTTCCCAGTACGAAGTCCATATAATGGTTACTTCCCCGATAGGTGTAATCAAGGGGAAAAAAGTACAAAGTATGTTAGCAT